GTTGAGGGGAGAAACTCCCCTGTAGACTTCTCCTACTCCTCGCAGGGTTGACAGGGGCACCATCAGCGTTTGATTTGGCAGGTCCTTACTAGATCTGCTAAATCAAACTCCATGAGATGGATCTCCAGAGCGCTGATCTCCAGGTAAGTATAAATAAGGTCTTAGCTTCGCTGTGCCCAACTGCTGTTGCAACATCGAATCAGAGAGCAGGCCAGGAGTGGGAATAAACCTAAGGAACAGAAGGGGTGTGAAGAACAGTGTGATTTGCACTAGCGCCAGTGTCATTTGGTTGGCAAGGGAATCATGGGGTACCTTATAACACCTGTGCAGTAGCATCCGCGCAGAGGACAGAGTGTTCACCGTGTACAGATAGAACGTCCTGGAAGGCGCATGGTCTGGAGTCTTCGGAATCTCCTGTTTGCATGCAGGAAAGAAGAGAGAAGCAGCGTGAGGTGTGTTTTATGGCCTCTGGGTGGAAGGTGTCTGTCTGTTCTCTCTGCGTGCTTCGTTCTAGCTTCCCCTGGGGACCACACAGTCATCATTCTTAGCAGAGACAGCAGGTGTGTACGCCAGCCCACCTGAGCCCCTAGCAATTAATAACTTGCCAATGATTCTGGGAAAGTCAGTGCACCTTTAGAGGCCTTGGTTTCCCCAGCTGCAAAACGCAGGGAAGGACACCTCCCCAGATCGCTGGTGGTAGCACTGAGGACCTGTGCTTGGAAGCTGTCGAGCGACACATATCGCACGTTTGGAGTTTATTAAATTCCTGGTCTTCACAAGATCCTCCGGCAAGGAGTTCCACAGGTTGACTGTGTGCTGTGTGAAGAAAAACTTCCTTTTGTTTGTTTTAAACCTGCTGCCTATTCATTTCATTTGGTGACCCCTAGTTCTTACGTTATGGGAACCAGTAAATAATTTCTCCTTATTCACTTTTTCCACACCAGTCATGATTTTATACATCTCTATCATATCCCCCTTAGTCTCTTTTCTAAGCTGTAAAGTCCCAGTCTCTTTAATCTCTCCTCATATGGACCCATTCCAAACCCCTAACCATTTTAGTTGTCCTTCTCTGAACTTTTTCTAATGCCAGTTTATCTTTTTTGAGATGAATGGAAACTAAGATCCCACCCCACTGCTCTCTAACTACTAGCCCACACTCCCACCCTTGAGTTCAGAATGGAAGCCAAGCTTTCTGGCTCTCAGCCCCTGCTCTGAAGGGTTTGGAACCCAGAATTCCATCTCTTTGCACTAACCAAACCACCTTCCTGCATCTGCATTCACCTCCATATTCTGTACGCCCTGTTTGCGACACACTCTGCTCACCTCTGGGTGACAGGGATTCTCACCTGCAGAGACACAAAGTTCTCGGAGAGCATTTTATACAGTATGTCCTTTGCCTCCTTGGCAGGAATCATGGCAAAATCTTCCACTTGTTTCTGTTCCAAATGTTTCTTCCGCAGAACCAGACGGAAGATCCTGGCACAGCGGGAACCAAATCTAGATGGGGCAGCAACACAGCAGCTCACACACAGCTCTGGGGAAGGATAGCCACATCCACACATGGTCATCGGAGAGTTAAGAAAGTTCCTACATTAATACTTCAGAGAAAAAAGCATCTTGTGTGGTGGAGATGGAATGAAATCCCGACTTCGGAGCCACAGGCTCAAACCAGATCAGACCACTGGTCCTTTGGGTCCCGTACCCAGTGTCTGGACCAGTAACCAATGCTTTAGAAATGCACACATGGAAATAAAATGTGTCTGTGGGTGAATGACGCAGCTGTCACTAAAGCAGCGTTCCTTTCCCTAATTCATGAGAGCCAGGCTAAAGAGTGAGCCGGCTGGAGTATCTCATCTCAACAAATGTCACCTTCCTATTTATTTAATGGTGGGACAGAGAGAGCCTCGAATCATAAATATTGTCAACATACAGCTGGATGAGGCGGGACCCGATCCTGAGATAGATCAGTTACCAAAACTGATGGGAGCTCAGCACCTCTCAAGACTGGATCCTTCCTCTTAAACGAAAGGACGGAGATTGTGGAGGATACTCCAACGGCTGAGCTGAAACTTTGTCACTGTAGCTGTATGGACAGACCAGGCAGGAGACACAGTCTCTTTTAATGGACCAGCAAATATTGATATTATATCACCCATGAGTTTCTCATAGCTATGCCTTGGACAGAGTAACACGAGGATTAACAAACAATGTTCCCTCTCATCTTTTCCATCCATGTGCAGATGAATTTTTATGTGCACTGAGGCATGTGTGAATGTGCACCACCAGCAGAAACACAAACCAAGCTGTGGGTAATTTGCTTATCAGCTGGGCAGCATCAGAATCTCTCCTGAGCAGTGACACAAGCGCCCAGCTTACAGGGAACACACTCACAAGCTGCAGTCAAACAGCTGCTTTACCTCTCCTGGACGATGGATTCCAGCGTTGCTGTTGCCAAAGATGCAAGGGCCTTGTGGAGATCTGAGCAGTGCACGTCAAGGTACCACACATGAATGACCAGGGTTGTACAATGCCACGTAAGCCCCAAGACCAGCCCTATACTGCCCAGAGTAGATTTCTCAGTAAAGGATACTGATGACGTACATGCCCCCACCACTATCCCCGGATTTACCGACAAACTCCAGCTACAAGGAAATAAAAGGGTTAAATGTTTACAAAGACTATTACAATTCTGAAAAAACTGGTTTGTTTTAAGAAAAAATACCAACCCCACCCTTAATGGTTAGAGGGGGCAGTCATTTTTGATGGGGAGGGACTCCAAGAACTCTGGAAGTGGTCAAGGGCCACTCTCTTCCATGATATTAATGGAGAGGCTGTGGGGTCTGGGACGGAGCTTGGGTGAAGAAGGGAGCTTGCAGTAAGGGATTGCGATGCAGGAGGGGGTGTGGGGTCTGTGAGGGAGTTTGGGTAAAGGAGGGGGTTGTGACCTAGGGCAGCAGATGGAGGTGCAGGAGGGGTGCAGAAATTTGGATTGTGACCTAGGGCAGGATACTGGGGTATAGGGTCTGAGAGAGGGTTGAGGTTTGGGTTGTGACCTAGGCCAGAAAGGGGTTGTGACCTGGGGAAGGAGATTAGGGGCAGAGTTTGGGAGGGGGATGGGTGCAGGAGAGAGGGGGAAAAGGGTTTGGGTTATGTGGGGTAGGGAAGCAGAGGGTTGGGGAAGAGGGATGGTCGGGGGTGCCAGAGGCAGGCTCTGGCCGGGAGACTTACCTGAGTGACTCCTGGCTAGCAGCCCAGCATATTTCTCAGGCAGGCTGCCTGCCTGCCCAGCCATGGCAGGGGCCATGTGGGTCTGGAAGGGGAGGGGTACTTTACAAGCTGCCTGTTCTTTAAACAGACAGCTCCCATTGGCCAGAATCCAGCCAATGGAACCATGCTGGGGGCGGGGGCAGTGCGCAAAGCTCCTCTGCCCTGCCCCCGGAACTCATAGCAGTTCAAAGACAAACATCGCCCTGCAGCCATTTTTCTGAGTGGTGTGCGCAGGGGTGGAGCAGGCAGGGAGCCTGCCTGAGGCTCCCTGCGGGCTGGACCAGTGGCTTGGCAGGATGGATCCGACCCGTGAGCCGTATTTTGCCCAGCCCTGGTTAGAGGATGTTTCCACAGTCTATTATTAATAGTCATGTTCTCATGATGTTTAAGTGTTCATTGGAAACTTTTTCTTCTCACAGTTCCTCCTCCCAGAGGCAGTTATTCTGACCTAGAGAGAACTACAGGATGAAACTGACTAGAAACAGAGCGTGAAACTGACAAGTGCCTCTCTTCACTGTCTATGCTGAGTAAGGTGAAGAAACCAAAGCCCTGATCCTACAAACACTTAAGCAGATGGGTAGCTTTGCTTATGCGGATAATACCACTCACTCTAATGGGTGTCCACTCACATGGAGAGCGGGACCAGATAAATTCTTCTGGAGGGGTTGGGGGCTATTCAATTTTGTGTGGATCCCTAGGTCCAGAGTGGAGCCAAAAATTAGGGTATCAGAGTGCATGAGAAGGCTGTGAGTTAAGGCAGGGGACTGAGTACACAAGGGGACCCAGGGCAGGAGTGGGAGTGAGCTCAGGGCAGGTGGTGGGAATAGTAGGTCTAGGCAGACATCAGAGTGCAGGAGGAGGCTCAGAGTGGGAGGTTGCGGTGGAGTCCAGCATCTGGTCAGGATTTAGGGTGGGGGAGGAGATTCAAGGCTGGGCAGGAAATTGGGGTATGGGGCAATTACCTCGGGCAGCTCCCCTTTGGTAGCCCAGGCTCTGGGGAAGGAAGGGGGCAGGTGGCTCTGCGTGCTGCCCTGGGCTCCCTGCCCTGCCCCCTGAGGCTCCCATTGGCCCCAATTCCCAGCCCATGGGAGTTATGGGGGTGGAGCCTGCAGGTGAGGGACGTGTGTGGGCAGAGCTTCCTGTGCCTGCAGCTAAATAATATATAATATAGACGTGTGTGGGCAGAGCTTCCTGTGCTTGCAGCTAAATAATATATGGAGATATACCTATCTCATAGAACTGGAAGGGACCTTGAGAGGTCATTGAGTCTAATCCCCTGCCATTATGGCAGGACCAAGTACCATCCCTGACAGATTTGCCCCAGATCCCTAAATAGCCCCCCTCAAGGGCTGAACTCTCAACCCTGCATTTAGCAGGCCAATGCTCAAACCACTGAGCTATCCCTGCCCCCTAAATAAGCAGAAACTGATCTCCCCTCCAGATCAGCATGAGCTATCCCTGCCCCCTAAATAAGCAGAAACTGCTCTCCCCTCCAGATCAGCAGGAGCAGCGGGAGTCCACCCCACTCCCACCAAGCAGGGCCACAATGCAGAGGCCTTAGTGGTTGCAACCCAGAGCCCTACAAAAAGAACTGCTGTCTTGGTAGCCTGGAAATCCTTTTGTGGGACCCTCCTTAGCCTGGGGCAATGGGCTGAATCCCCTAAAGCCCCTTTCTTAACCCAGCCCTGATAGAGAGGACTGCAAAATTAGGGCACTAAATCAGAACTGGACCACAGAGGAAAATCCTGTTCAAAACCAAATGTAACCAAATCATACATGAAGCATTTCTTACCGGGTCATCGGCTAGCAAAGTGAGATACTGATCCAGAATTTGTTTCACAATGTTGTATCCTGCTGGAAGAGATCTGAATATCTGTGGAAACAGCCAGAACATGTGCGCTATTAGCACTTAAGACGACCAAAAATAAAACAGTAGGTGGTTCCTGGTTGAAGGCCCACAGAACCCTCAGGCAGACTCCCTTTACAGTTAGAACCAGGAGTCCTCCTCTAGCCACCCGACAGCTCCTCAAGAGTGCAGTTGAGACTGTATGCAAACCAGAGGAGAGAGCAGGAGATGCTCTCACACTCATGACCCAGCCTTGATGTCTAAAATGGTGGGTTCCTGTGTCATTTGATAGCACCATGTCCCGTAGCTTGTTCTGTGTCTGTACAGTGCCCTGCATCAAGGGGTCCCCTGGTGCAGGACAGGACTGCGATCACAACGCAGATACGTAACGGTAGCCAAGAGAATATAATTATCCGTGTCCAATTTCTATGGAATGTACCAAATGCTGCCAAAACTCACCTCGTTGGAAGACAGGGGCTGTGTGTAAGGTGCATTGGAGGACGTGGTAATTTCACTCATTCTCAGCATAGTCCTCACGATTTCACTGCTGGTCTGTTTAAAAAGGAAGGAAACAGCCGTTAGATCTTGACAGAACCTCTGTTCACACGCTGTTCCCCCATCAAGAACCGTGTTGCTCCAAATTCAGCTGTCAGCCTCCAGTAAGAGCTAGGTTGCATGACCCCCCAGCCACTCCACGTGAGTCTGGTTACGTGCCCCACTGCACTGACAGCAAAACCACCCCAGTGCACTTGCCCAGTGACCGGAGCGGGAGAGGGGGCACAGCTGCCCCAGGGCCCGGCAATTCAAAGGGGCCCAGGCCTCCCGGCCACTGCTACTGCTCTTGTGGCAGTGTCCGGAGCCCTGGGCCCTTTAAATTACCACTGGAGTACCACATGCTCTGGGCAGCATTAAGGGCTGTGGGGAGAGGTGGGAGGAGGGGAACAGCCCAGCCCCCTGGCTCCCCCCAACCCTGCCCCTTCCATCCAAGGCCCTGCCCCTTCGGGGGGGGAGCATAACTGCCTACCCCCACACTTTGCTCAGGGCCCCACAGAGACTGTCAGCGCCCCTGCCAATGCAAGAGAAGTGAAAGATGCTCTGGGAGAGCAACATATGGCTTAGCAGCATGTAGAACAGGTGTGTACGCTTCAAGATACTGGAGCAGCTAGGTGGTGCGTTTAAGGGCACTGACTGAAACAAGAACTTGGTCCAACTCCTGTAAGTAGCAGCAACCCGTGCCTGAGATTTCAGAAGAAGGTGACCCCTTGCAGCATTTGGCTAGTATCTAGAAGCGTGAGATTTGAAGCTTTTAACATATAACTGCAGAGATTGTGATCACCAAATTCCTGCTCCTGTTCCCCAGAGTAACCCTGCTGAGGAAGTTCCCGATCACTTCTGTGTACCTGGTCCATCCTGTTGGCCACTGCGCTGACTATGGCTTGGTCTCGGAAGTACTGGTGGAACCGATCGATGTTGGCTTGCCAGTAAATGCCGTCGTCGGGCGGGGGCTGAGAAGAAATGGTGGACAGAGAAGGAATCGCTGATGCTGGTTTATTGGTTGCAGAGTCAGATGCTTGTTTGAGGAAGAGGCACCCTTTGCTGAGGGATACTGAACACCTGGCAGGCACCCTGCAGCTTGCTGGGAGCTGCCGGGGTCTAGAAGAGTTGAATTAATGTGAAATTGAACCATGACAGCGAGGTTACAAACTGGCAGATGGGCAGACTGACTATGCCACACAACGGCCTCTAGAACACAGGCTGTTCAGCAGCCCTACCCTGAGGGTAGATACTATGCACAGTGGACCCCTTGGTGTCCCTGCTTGTTTTCATTGGCTACGCAGGATATGGACCCAAAGGTCAGATACTCGGAGAGACTGCTAAGCTCTCCGCTACCGCCAAGACCATCGCTGGCCTGCATGCAAGCCAAGGAGCAGCAGCCTGTTAGCAGTACCTCTTTGCTGTCTGCATCTTGCTTCTGCCTTTTTGCTTTGTGCTCACTCTTCTCTTCATCATCAAATGATCTTCTCCTTTTCCCTTTCCCTGTGGGCCAAAGACACGGCTCTTCTCTGAATACCAGCACTGCAGTTTTGCATTCAGGTCAGAAAGCACTTTGCTGATGACCCAGATATCCCTCCCCCGGGGAATGTGGTGACAACGTTCCCATCCCCCCTGTCCGTCCGTCCCCCCATGGCATTCTAAATGCAAGCTACTCAAATATCAGAGGTTATGCAAAACAATGGAGATTCTGACAGCTCCTTACCTATGAGATTCAGGGTGGGGACCAGATACATGTCCTTCTCATTAACTGCCAGAGTGGGTGCTGGAGGGGGTGGTGCAGCCGAAGCCTTGGAAATTTCAGGGGCCACCGGGCATCTCTGAATGAAGTGCGTGTCTGCTAGGCGCACAAACGTGTTGGAGACTTCAGCATAGTCCATAGTTTTCCCATCTGGGCAAAAGGATCCCAAGGAGAACATAATCGATCATCATGACTAATGTTCTCTCACATCTTTTCCATCCAAGTGTGGAATAAATGCATCAAGGCATGTGTGAATGTGCACCACCAGGAGAAACAAAAACCTAGCTGTGGGTGCTCTGCTAATCAGCTGGGCAGCATTGGAATTTCTCCTGAGCATCTGCACAAGTGCTCAGCTCACAGGGAACAGTGATCATGACCTCAAACACCAGTTGCTGCTGCACCCAGACAGGATCAGGCCCCATCACTGTCTTTAAGAGACTTACAACCAGGGAAATGCAAGAAAGAGCTTGGAATCCGATCTACATTTATCACCCTCCACCCACTCATTCCAGCTGACTTCATACTCTGGGCCAAATCTGCAAAGGTGACGAGGGATTTGGGTGCCTCAGTTTCTAGGTGGCAAGTAAGAGGGGCCAAGCAGGTCTTTTTAATGTGTCACAAATTGGGCCCCCCAAATCACTAATCACCTTGAAAAATCTTAACCGGTCTTTCTGCTTTCTCTCCCCTCACCCACCTTTCTAGAAGCATGGGCCTTCTCTCTGCCCCTCTGCACAGCTCACAGATGGAGGTGCAAGAACCTTTTCCTATGCTGCTAAAACACCTGAAACATTTTATGTATAATTTCTTCTCCACTCCCCACATCTTGCAGGGGCTTCCCTCAGCCCCTCTCTTTGCTACTGTGCCCAGTAGGGATGTGAACAACTAGTCAACTATCCGAAAAGCAAATGCTTATTGGATAGTCAACACGCTAGTCGACTAGTCGCTCCTTGCCTCTTGCTGCATCTATCGAAAAGAAAGCAGCAGTAAGGTGGTAGGGAAGATGGGGTGCTTCAAAGCAGCAGTTCCATGTGCAGCCTGGGGTTGCCACTTTGAAACGCCACGTGCAGCCCAGGCTCCACACGGCACTGCTGATGATAGGCTCCCACAGCGTTTCAAAATGGCAGCGCCACATGGAGCACAGGGTTAGCCTGATAACCAGTGTTTACACTCTGGAATCTGTATAGCACTTGTCATTTGGTTAAATGTTTTTATGCCCACTGTACAGGTGGGGAAGCTGAGGCATAGCAAGGGGGTCTCTCTAGGTCATACAGTGAGCCAGTGGTAGAGCAGAGAATGGACTCCCAGGTCTCTCTACCATGCTGTCTCTACACATGTCTACTGAGAGAAAAAGAGAGTAAAACACACAGCAAAATAAATCATAGTCAAATGGTCTGAGCACAGGCCTGGGAGCTAATTCTGTTCCCAGCTTTGACAGTGATTCATTGTTTGAGCTTTGGCAGTGCCTGCTTCGCCTCGTGCCTCAGTTTCCACATGCTATAGCATGTGGATCACAATACTGATCTCTCCTGAAAATGCTTGGAAGCATCAGTGTTGTGTACTGCCTCTTGAAGATGCTCCATCCGGACCTGACCTAAAGCCCCCTGAAGTCAATGGAAAGATTCCCATTTACTTCAGTGGACTTTAGACCAGGCCCTCCATCCAGCTGGAAGCCATCCAATCCCCTTTCGTTGTGTACAGAACTTGAACACTGTGGTAGCATGAAGCATCAGCTCAGCAGCCTCAAAACTTGCCAGATAGATAAGGCACTGCAGCAAAAGATTTCCGCTCCCTTTTCAAGCTGTCTCCACACCCCACTGGCTCACCCTCCATAGTTTCCGTCAGCCTGTCTGCAACCTTCTGCACCACAGCGCTCATGGTCATTTTGCCGTTCAGCAGCAGCTCCTCCACAATCAATTCACCCATGTCGCTGTAGAGGGTCTTGGCAGTATAGATGTAACGTGGATACCGCAGGATCCTCAGCACCCGACTGCACAGAGCTTCGTACTCCACAATGCCTCGCTTCTGCAGCTGGTAGGTCACCAGGTTATGTTGAATGAGGACACAGAGAGCTTTCTTAACCTGCACATGCCAGAGAAAGGAATGAGAGCCGTACTTGGGGGAAAATCAACCCTCATGCTTGAGGTCTGATCACCTCAAGGATCAGGAAGGGAATGCCCTCCCCTCCTATATTTAGGTGCTTTAGCTCCATCCATAGTCTCAGGAAGGGCCATTAATTTCCCAATTAGCACTGATCATTAACAATGAAAGATAAAGCTACTGAGCATTCACCAGATCATCTTTATTTGGAAGAGAGCAGGGTGATGTTTGACATTCCTCAGGGGCTAGCAGAATTAAGAGAAGAAGAAACCTGGGAGATCTTGTCCTAATCAAGGCAGGGCCTGGGAATCTCAACTGTAGTCCTGACTCACAGTGCAACTTTAAGCAAGTAAGCTTCACTTCCTTATTCTTTACAAGCTGCACTAACTTCATCTCTTGTCCTCTCCACACTCTGTTACACTAAATTAGACCACCAGCCTTCCCTTCTGGGGAGAGGTAAGAACTCAGAACCAATCTGTTAAAGCCAATGACAAAACTCCCATGGATTGCAACTGGTACTGTTAAAGAAACAGATTTGGTTTTAAGGAGACATGTTCAAATTCTAATTTGCCTTTTGCAAACGCATTTGGAATAACAGAATCCTTCAGGAGCCCTAGAAATGGTGACAGACAAGTTTTAATGAGCAAATAATAGTTCAGTCAGCTCTGCTGAGTAGCATTTATCTAGCATCTGTGATCCAAGGGAGGATAACTCCTAGCGGATTCTAGACATACCTGATCTAGCAACATCCCTGTGTCCTTGGCAATCACTCTCAGTGGCTGGCTGCCTGTTTTGATAAGGTGAGTCCCTATCTTTTCCACGATCTCGCCAAAATGTTCTTGCAGCAGGAGGGAACAGAGTTTAATTTCTGCTTGAGTCATCTTGCCGTCAAATTAAAATACTAGAAGGATATGGGGGAAAAACATTTATTAAAATTCTTATCAGGTGAGACAGGAGAGTGCAGGAAATGTGCTGGTGGGACGCAAAGATTTTCACCTCTCAAGTCGCCTGTTTGATTTGGTCAATCAGCAGAGACCAAAAGTTGTTCCCAATTCAGGCTTGAGAGGAATGCAGTGGGTTCGAGGCTCAGCTCAAATAAAAAATGCCTTCACAGCCAGTCCGCTTTAAGTCAAACCGGGCAGGCACGCAAGCACACCCAGCAAGCACCGAATGAGCCACGGCGAGGAAACACAGACTATCCCCCGAGATGATCCCGGCAGGGCAGAGTGGGGGAAACGTGTCACATGCTTCCCTAGGGCTGCACCAGTTCTGCAGGGAATCGGGCTCGCCAGTGGGGTGGCCGGGTGTTGAAGCGGACAGTCCAGGATTTGAGCCTTCTGTGGGGGAACCCAATGGAGACAATAGAACGGAGACAAGGGACGGGTCCGGTCTTTGCTACACGAGAGGCCGCGGGCATTGTGACGTCATGGACATTGTGACGTCACGTCCAGGGGTTCTGTGGAAACCACCAGGCAACCCTGCTGGGCCGTTGGGCGTTGATTTTAAAATGGGGCCTGCCCCGTGGGCAGCACTAGGGGAGCTA